GTGTACTTGTACTTGTTAATACATTGCTTTGTTATTATGTTTATAGTTTTTCTTACCTGTACATACTCTAAATTGGAGTCTGTTAGTAAGTTCTAGTATGAAGTTATATGAACTGATCAAATTGGTATGATAGAATTTATATATACTTTATATGTGAAGTATAAAAGCTAATTGAAATACATTTGCAACTATTCATCATAAGAATTATCATCTTTGGTTATTCTCTTCTCCAATGCTTTTTAAATTTTACTGTTTTATAAATTAAATACAAAGAGAGGACCTTAGTTTGGTATCTATCAGATTATCAAAATGGCATAAAAATGTTCAGTACTGCACTTGATTCTGGACTGTGCTATTGATATATGCTTCTGTATAGAAAAATATGTTGGGTAATGGGAAAAATTATGGTTTGAAATGATGATACCATTCATAACATTTTTTTAACATGTTCATCTTGTTACCCTCTAATCAATTATGTGATACACACAATTAATATATGTGGTCACATTGAGAGAAAGACTAGACAGCAGTTATATGAAACAGATGTTTAATGGGGATTTGAAAAATCAATGAAATGAATACTATTGTGATGCATGGTGATCTAATTTCATAGGTGTTATATTGAATCACTCCATTCTTTCTGAATTCACTGTGAACACTCAGAACTAAACATATTTACAGTGGCACCAGGGAGAAGACAGGGAGTTTTATTGAGAGGAGAATCACGATGGGGCTTCATTGATCTGTTCTCTTTCTAATCAATATATAGGTTCTAGAATGATAACCCATATGGCACTATTGTCCCTCTGAAGTAAGATATACATCCTTTGAGTGATCTTTAAGTGACAGATGAAAATCTTTATAATCCATCATGGAATCGTGGCATGCTTAGTCCCTTGAAAGGAATATTTTACTTCCATATTGTAATCTCAATTGCTCGGGCTTGATACAGGAATAATTTCTTTTCATATATGTGTGTGTGTGTGTGTGTGTGAGTGTGTGTATGTGTGTGTATATATATAAACACATTTATACATAGGTACATGTATTGATGATTTTATACCTACATTTATATATCATATATAGCTATACAAATGCCTTCTTATGCTTAATTATAATATCTTCTTCTGTATTTGAAAGTATTTACCATGAATCTCTTTTTTATATGAGCCTTTTCTCCCGTACTTTTCATATTTAACACAAGACAATAATAATGACTTACGTTTGAATGTTGTTTTACAGTGCCTTATGTGCACTTTTCTATCTAATTTTCAGAACAACCCTATGTGGCAATCAGGATTATCTTCATTCTAAAATCAAGGAATTAGAGAACCAGAGTATTAAGCAATTTTACCCAAGTACAGCTAGAAAATGGAAATAATGAGACTAGAACCCAGTTCTTTAGACTCCTGGGTCGTTGCTCTCTGAGGCATGATGTTATTCTTACTGTTCCAATTTGAATTAACACATTAAACATTACAGGGTCTTTATCTTGCTACTTTCCTGGTCTTGATGCACATGTGGTTTGAGTTCATTATAGTCTGTAGAGTGAAATGAGGTTAGAAAACTATCATCTGGCCACAGTCTTTCATTCTTGCCAGAGACTCTAAGTTTCATGGACTGTGATACCAATTTGTCCAATACTGGCCATTTAAGTGTGTAATAACATTAACTGTACATGTCATGAACTAGGTGAACTTTTAATTTATGTCTGCTCAAATGCAGCATTTTATTAAATCAAACAAAATCTTTAAGGAAGAAAATGAAAATAAAAGGAAACATTTATTTCATGTCTTTGCAAAGAGTTTTATGTACTTTTTTTTTTTCATGTTATTCTCCCAACAGTCCTATGATGAGGCTGTTGGTTCCCAGAAAGAATAATTTACTTGGCCAAAGTCAATTCTAGAACTATAATTTTAATGCAGGAAGTTGAACTTCAAAGGTTTTACTCTTGTACAATACATTCTGTTTACAAATTGTTATAGAAATAAGTCAGTTGGCATGAAGATATTTTAAAAGATTTGGTAAACAAAAATAAAGTCAGTTGTCACATTGACTTTCTTTTACAAAGACACGGGTTTTTGATATGGTCTTTTACAAAGACAGAGGTCTTAGATAGCCTGGTGTCTCTTGGTGTGAGTTTGTTTAATGAATCCATGTTTAATCTGTATATTTTAATGCTGTTCCTAATGCAGCACCATTCCCCAAGACAGGATTAGAAAATGAGTACTGAGATAATGTGGCATACCTTCTTTTCTGAGAAGAATGTGAGATCTCAGATACAAAAGTACTTTGAAATGTGAAAAACTTAGACATTTGCCATCACCTACATTTTGCTCTTCTCATCCAGTAAATTTGAGAGTAGTGACATAATCAGTGCTGTTTTACTTGTCTACTAAAATCTTTGTATTGAAAAAGCACTTGGTGTGAAATAACAAGAATCGATGTACCTGTAGAGAGTTCTGTATACTAGAGCACTGCCCATTTCTGTAAACCACAGCCTTTTGCCAGGAACTCGAGGCAGTTTCTCAGTGGTCTGTGCTATATTTTCTACTCCTGTGGGATTTGTGAGGCTATCTCAACAGACAGCTCTATCAGATGACTGTCTTTCCCATGATGGCTTAGCTGTCATTCAAGTGGATACCTTCAAGAACAAGAGGCATCACACAGATGCTTACTCCATTCAATTAACATTGAATAAGTGACCTGGTGAAGGAACACAAGCAAACATTATAGAATCTGAGTAATTCTTGAACACTCCCTACCATAGCTGTGAAGACTAAGCCTTAAAAGCTTATTTTTCCTTTATTACTTACTAGATGATAACATGTAACAGAATATTTAATATCTTATTAATGTTAATTGAAGTGCAAAATTTGATATGGGCACAAGGAAAGAATTTACTATATATACTGCTGTTATTTATTCTGTAGTTTTTTCAGAGGGAGGTGCTTTGGAAACAAAGCAGGGATACATATTTCGAAGAATATCAAATAGTGAAAAATAACCAGCAGATAACCAAGGGGAATGCACTTAAGAAGGAAAACAGTTCAGAAAGAAATTGTACTGGAGAAAAGATTCACAAAACAATAAAAAAAAAAAAATGCAGCTGAGAGAAGCAGCCAGTCTTCTCTGCCACTAGATTAGAACCTGGCTGCAGACATATTCTGTGTTGTACACATACAAATAGCCTTGGAGTGAAACTTAATACATATGTGTTGAATGATTAGTTTAGATATCACTTGTTATGAGGCATCACATTACAACAGGGCTTAATTATAATATTATACATGAAAAAGGCATTTTGAAATTAAAGCATAGACTCTACAGGCAGACTGTTCTGTCCAGGTTAGAAATTGGCACTGCAACTTACTTGTTCTGTCACCTTCAGCAAAGTTATTTAATTTATATGTACCTCAATGTCCTCATATTTAAAATGTGGATAACAATAGCATTAGTTGTCTCATAGAGTTATTTGGGAAATTAAATGGGTTATAATATATACTAATCACCTATATGCCTGGCAATTAGAGTACTGCCTATAGTCAATAAATGTAAAACTAGATTTTCTGTAATATAAGCAAAATTTCCTTTCTTTATTTCATTCCTTTTCAGAGAACTTGAAAATTACCATTTTTCATTAATTCGTAAGGAGGTATAAACACATGCTTTGTATAAACACATGCTGAAACACCAAGAACTTCACTAACTGTTCTAGGGGAACAAAGAAACTATCTGGCCTTCCTGAAAAGCAAAGAACACTGTACATATACTATGCCGAGCTGTTTTGTTTGTCAAATCTTTGTCAATTCCTCTTTATTCGTAAACTCCCTTCTTCCCACTAAAAGGTGAATTAAAAAGTCATTTCGGTGTCATTTTGAAATCATCCTGGTATAGACACGTACCTTATTTATTAATATGCCACCTACTCTCAGGGAAATATCTTCCTTTGATAGATGGGAATTTGCAAGTTTCATTATCTTTCATATTCCACTTAAGTTTGCCTCGTTTTTCTTTCTTTGTAGAAATTTATTTAAATTTGCTAAGATTTAATATTTTACTTTGATTTACACTTTACTTTTTCCTTGCCGTAAGATGTGAAGTTTGAAAGAATTGGTAAACTACAGAATAAACAAACCTACTTAATATTAATAGCTAATGTTTACTAAACAATAACTATGTTCCAGTTCTCAATAATATCTATCTATCTGTATTTACATATATATAATTTTGTAAAACTCTCACATCTGTTAGAGAAGTGTAATTATCTCCATTTTAGAAATGAAGTAATAGATCAAAGAGATGAAGGAACTCAATTTCACAGTTTTCCAGAAAAACAATCAGTAGGATGGATGGATAGATGGATGGAGATAGAGACAATTTATTTTAAGAAATTATCTTATGCAGTTATGGAAGTTGGCAAGTCCACATTCTGTGGGGTAGGCCAGGAGAGTGGAAACTCTCAGGTAGGGGTCGATGTTTCAGTTTTAAGACAAAATTTCTTCTTTCTCTGGGAAACCTCAGTTTTGTTCTTAAGGCCTTTTGGCTGATTGATGGGATAAAGCCCACCCCCTTATTGAGGTGATCTTTATTTAAAGTCAACTGATTGTAGATAATAACCACATCTACAAAAGGCCTTGACAGCAACACCTAGATTAGTATTTCATTGAGTAACTGGGTATTATAGCTTAGGCAAGTTGACACTTAAAACTAACCATCACAGGAACTTGTGTGAGTTCACAGAGCTGGTAAATGGGAGAGGAAGGACTCTCACCAAAGCCTGTCTGGTGACAGAGCCCTCCTCCTGATCACAGTTAGCAGGCGTCATGGTTAGCAAGCTATCAAAGCATCCAGGAGGAAAGCTTTTGATGCACTGTCCTAGGGCATAAAGTATGAAAGCACAGGAAGCTCAGTTGTCTTTGTCTATGTCTTGATCTAAGTGAAAAAAAGTGAAATTTAAATTTTACCAAAGCATTTTTCTTGTGAAATAATCCTTGCAGGAGAGGAAAAGTTATCTCGGCGAGTCTGGTGGTGTGTTGATCACAGTGCCTTGCAGTTCTAAAGGTAACAGTTATGTTAACAGTGGTCGTAGGAAATAACTACAGATGGAAAGCTCCCTTTCTGCTTAACCATGCCGAGTGGTGTAAAAGCTCAGATCAGGAGTTGGTAAAGAAAGGATTCTAGACATTATTGCCAGGGTCTGGGGAAGTCTTATCCACCACTTACATTCTCTGTCCCTTATTTTTGATCTGTCTTAAAGATTTTTGCTTATCCCATCATTGTGAAATGGCACAGAACTTCAGGTTGTTTTTCTTTTCATTTGTTTGTGTTTTTTTAAACGTGAAAATGAAGTGGTATAGAACATATGCTTTTACCTATAGTGTAGTAAGATGAGAGGGGAAACGAGTCCTTACTTAAATTATTATTTTTTTTTTTTTTGAGACAGAGTCTCACTGTGTTGCCCGGGCTAGCGTGCCATGGCGTCATCCTAGCTCACAGCAACCTCAGACTCCTGGGCTCAAGCAATCCTACTGACCCAGCTTCCCGAGTAGCTGGGACTACAGGCATGCACCACCATGCCCGGCTAATTTTTTCTGTATATTTTTAGTTGTCCAGATAATTTCTTTCTATTTTTTTTTTTTTTTTTTTAGTAGCGACGGGGTCTCACTCTTGCTCAGGCTGGTCTTGAACTCCTGAACTCAAACAATCCGCCCGCCTTGGCCTCCCAGAGTGCTAGGATTACAGGCATGAGCCACCACACCCGGCCCTTACTTAAATTTTACTATGTAATAAATGTATATGTTGTTTTGACTAATTGAGTGTGCAGCCTAACTTACAGTCATCTTTTAATAGTTTTCAAGAGAAATTGTTTTGTCATTAGAGAGTCTTTAAGTACATACTCTGCTATTTTCACAAACCCCACCCCTTTGCCCAGGTTTTCTGAAAGAATCACATAAACAACCACACATGTATATAATAGTGTATATGTTACCAATATACCTAAGGAATATTCTTCCATGTCTGAAAATGAAGAAACAGTCTTATCCCCATTTCATTTACAGAGACACTGAGGCAAAAACAAGTAGAGTGACTTGCCTAACCATCCTAGATAATTAAAATTATTTTTAAAATAAAGGGTCTTAAAATAATTTATGAGCAAATCATCTGGAGAAGGAGATAGAGGGGATGCTGGACAGGGAATAAAAATGTTTGGCTTAGTTTAAAGAGACAACAGTGGTTTACTGCTGGTTACATGCAACCAACAAAAATCCTCAGCTTTCAGATCAGAGGTGGTACCTACCTTATCTCACCTGAGAAAAGTCATCTTTGGGCTACGCTTATTATTCTGTGTGTCCACAAGCAGCTACCCATTGTCCTTCATTTAATTATAAAATAAACTCCTACCTCTCTAGAATGAGTCATTAGTCGAATGAGTTTTGGACAGTGAGTAAATTGAATCTACATATTTCTACCTGTGTTTATAGAATTGAGATGAATTGTTTCTCCACTTACCTTGGATGGGGTGATTGTGAAAAGATTTTCTTCATGTATACTTTTAAAACAAATTTAGTCTGCTATTCATTTTACTTTCAAAATTTTGATAATCATTTCTGAATTATATAGTTGACACATGCATATTGTAGAAAATTTGGAAAATAGGAAATAGTAAAAATTAGAATATCCATAATTCCAGCACCAAAAATGATCACTGTTCAGATTACATGGTTTATATATTCATTTCTACAAAATTTGAATCATACTTTACAGAGTTTTGAATGCTGCTAGTTCATTTAATACTATGTTTTGACTACAATCTGATACCATATTTTTCAAATATTCATTTTAATAGCTATATTTTGTTCTGTTGTCTTTTTCTTTTTTTAAAGTAAGACTAATTTATTCATTTACTTGGCATTCTGGTATTCTCCCATCCTTTTCTTTTCTTTTTCTTTTTTTTTTTTGAGACAGAGTCTCACTGTGTTGCCCGGGCTAGAGTGCCGTGGCGTCAGCCTAGCTCACAGCAACCTCAAACTCCTGGACTCAAGCAATCCTTCTGCCTCAGCCTCCCGAGTAGCTGGGACTACAGGCATGCGCCACCATGCCCGGCTAATTTTTTTCCATATATTTTTAGCTGTCCAATTAATTTCTTTCTATTTTTGGTAGAGACGGGGTCTCGCTCTTGCTCAGGCTGGTCTCGAGCTCCTGAGCTCAAACAATCCGCCCGCCTCGGCCTCCCAGAGAGCTAGGATTACAGGCGTGAGCCACCGCGCCCGGCCGCATCCTTTTCTTTTCTTTTGTGCATCGATCATTTTTGTATATAAAACGTTTATTTGCATGTCTTAGTGTTTTCTTAAGATAGATTCAAAACTCTTTTCTAGAATTGGAAACCAATGTGTATTTCTACCAAAAGAGTACAAGTTCCATCTCTACCCTTGCTGTATAGTTTAATTTTCTTAAATATTTTACTTTTTAATAGGGAAACATATTTCATTGCTTTAATTTGCAGTTCTTTATTTACTAGTGGAGTTAAAACTTTTAGTGCTTATAAGCTATGTATATTTTTTCTTCTCCCATTTTTTATTATTCTTTATTTATGTTTCTATTGGAAAGTAAATTTGTTCCTTATTGATATTTAGAAACCTTTTTGCTTAGTAAAGACATTTTATTTGTTAAAATATTTTCTTGGTTAATAATTTACCTTTTAATTCATTTATAATATTTTTTACATGTAAGAGTGGCTGAATTTTTGTGGTAAAATACATTGTTTTTCCTTTGAGCGTTTTTCTTCCATTATTTTCCCTTAGAATAATCTTACTTATTCAGAAATTAAATAAATATGTATCCATATTTTATTTTAGTTTTTGAATTTTTTATGTTTAGCATTTAAATACAGCTGAAACTTATTTTTATTTATGGCATGAAGAAAGAATATAACCTGATTTTCTCCATTACACTATATATGTGTGTATGTGTGTGTATGTATGTATATACACGATATGTTTCTTTACATATATATATGTGCATTAATGTGTAATTTGTCATGTGTATATAGTTATATATTAAAAGTATATTCTGAGGTCTGTTAGATTGTGTTATGTAAAAATTTATGTTAATCTGCTTACAGATTTTTTTCTAAAAACCACATTATTTCAAAGATTACAATTTTCTTTTTTGTTTTAACATCCATTAGGAAAAGATGCTCCTCCTGCTAATGATATTTTATAAATTTTATTAATTAGGTTTGCCAGAACCCAATAAAGACCACATCTTTGAAGGCCTGACGCAGGACCAGGGGTTTTACACATCCAAAGACTTCTTGCCACGTGTAGCCAAAGGCAGTAAAGCAGGTATAAAATATTGTCTTCTATTCCTAATGTTTTCTATGTTGTTTTATGCATTACAAATTTATATTAAATTCAAGCTCAATAGGACATTATTCAATCTCAAATCAACCCTTAAATAATACCAATGTAAAGTTAAAAAAAAGGCCTAATATAATAGTTTGTCAAAATTATCTATTTGTCCGTTCTTCCAATAAAGCATCATCATAAGGATTTTTCACTGTGCTATAGATAGGTCTAAACTACATCATGAAAAATTGCTTCAAGGTAAGAGAGTCCTTAACAGCCCTTGGAAGATGTTTTTAAAAGAAATGGTAGGACCTTCATTTGGGGAACTATTTTAAAATAGGATGAATCATCACATATCTTACATGATTTGTGTCCACACAGACAGAAAGATTGAATGTCTCTTCTTGAACAGTAATTGTATGAAGTTAAAGTAAAGGACTTTGATAGATACCCTATCACTTTGTATACCCCGAGAGGAACAACCTGAAGTGAATGCTGTGCCATACTTCAGCTAGAGTGGGGTCATCGTCCTAGTGATAAAGAAGATGTAATATTTTCTCCAAATCCAGATGATCAAAATCCTTTAAATATACATTTTTTTTAATTTCAGCATATTATGGGGGTACAGATGTTTAGGTTACGTGTGTTGCCCTTGCCCCCCGCCCAAGTCCGAGTTTCAAATATACATTTTTAAAGGAATCTGAGCTACAGCTATTTCTACATTCAATAACATGTATAAATGATAAGAACTTACATTTTTCTCTCCCAATTTTAAAAAAACTTTCCATATTAAATTATTTAGTAGATGTACAGCTAAAGAAGCATACCATCTCTACCTTCCTCCTCCAGGAAAACTGCATGCCTGTATGTCTGCAACACGGTCTAAGGATGCTCATAGTACACTTACCGTATTTGAAAATTACAGAGTGCTGATTGTGTAATCCCAAATACAAACTCTTCCAAGCAAAATGATTACACATATTGAGATTATAGATCTATTCTACTCTTGGTGCCATTCCAAAAATTATAGTAATTTATCTTATCAACATTTTTATTTAATCTGCTACTACAGTGCTACCTACACATAGAGAACATTTATATTTCAGTTTTTTATAAGGATCTTCTTATGGATACCAAATCTTAATATATTAATAGATGACATTGAGAAATGGACACTTAGAAAGTAATATTTCTTTTACTGTCCACTTTGTCCAAACAAAACCAGAGAAAAGCGGTAAATAGAGGAAAGTTTTATTTTAACTATTTCAAGAAAACTGTTCTCAGAAATTCTTTAGTTACATAAAGGGCACTTATTCAGTGTATTAATATTTGAAGTTTATAAAATATAATTAGCAGAGCTATATGTTAGAAATTACATAAGATAATATATAAATAAATTATTTTAATGAAATGCTGCCAATTATAGGAATCACTTTTTTCTTCTAAAAAGCAGAAATTTAATTGTGCTAAGTTAAAAATACATATCACAACTTCGACTTAGAGTTTTAATTTATCGATTCCAGTTTGTTATGACCTAAATGCCTCAAAATGTGTTGTAGCACTCCTTCTAGAAGGAAAAAGGAAGCTAAAGGCACTGACTATAAAATTACACATATGAGCATATTTTTAAAATGGGAATAAAACTGTCTTTCAATGAAGCAGAATAATTTGATAGTGACACTTCATCCTGGAAAACTGCAAGATGCAATTTTACACTGCTTTGAGTACAAGTATCTTTTGAGCTGTCATGCAGAAATGGTTTCTCTACTTGAAAATGGGGTTTTCCTTTCATCATTCAGGAATGTGTGCCTGTCACTCTCCATTGCCATCGATACGGGGAACCGTGATTGTACTCGGAGCTGGAGACACTGCCTTTGACTGTGCAACATCCGCTCTACGTTGTGGAGCCCGCCGTGTGTTCATCGTCTTCAGAAAAGGCTTTGTTAATATAAGAGCTGTCCCCGAGGAGGTAAAATGGAACCATCGGAATATATGGAGTTGTAATCCAACAGATTTTAGGAGATGAAAATGTTAATGTTGAAACCATTAGAATGTTATTGAAATTGTCAAATGCAAATTTAAATATTTCTGGCCTGCATATAATTGTTTTTTTCTAATTCAGACATTTCAAGTAAGAGAAAATTTATAATACTGATTTGGATAAAATGAGAAATTTGTCTTTGTCGATGCACAAATGCTTCTTATTGTCAGTGTTAGTAACTTTGAAATATATTCTATTTAACTAGTAATAGTTAATGTACTAAGTCTTCCATATCCTAAACAATAGGTACTCTTCACAAAATGTACAGATATTAGAAGAATGTGCTAATTAGAGACATTTGGAATTTTCCATAAGCCAAGTTGACAAGCTACATTCGAAGATATGTACCTTGGTCATACTTACAGTCAATTCATTCTGCTGTGAAGCAAATAGGATGAAGAGATTGCCATGTATTTTTTTTTAAAGAGCTCTAATGTAAGCACTATTCAGAATTAATAATTAATTAACTTACTAAAACTGACAGATTTGAAGTCATTTCGTTCTTATAGGTGACTGGTAACTACTCTTGAGTGAGGCATCAGCTGGTTACATATACTACATACTTCTCAAATTTTAATGCTATTACAGAAAGACAGTGCCTTATAAAGGATATCCTTTATATCCTTTAGCTCTGAGAGGGAGAACCAAATGTATTTATAGAAAGATAAATTACTCATTTTATTCAAATCAGTGTTATGAATTATACTTGCTTTAGAATGCCTGAACATGTTTGGAGTCTGTATACCAGGCAAGAATTATAACTGAAGTCAATAGGTAATTTGTCACATGTAGATTAACCATATTACAAATTAATGTTACTAAAGTGTCAGAGTCACCACTGGTTCATGGCTGGGATTAAAAGGTTACCTTTATTCTCTGGGCTATGCTCCATCCAGTCTACCCTTTTAGACTCTTTTTTTTAGTCCAAGGTAGTCTTATAATCATAGAGTTTTTCTTCTGGAGTGTAGTCTTAGGCATCAATTAGTGCAATTGCGTCATTTTGCAAATAAAAAGAAAACAGCATGGTGGAATTAAGTGACTTGCTGGAGTTAAAAGAAGGCAATTTTATTTATCTTTATATCCCCGTGCATAGCGCAAGACCTGGCAAATAATAAGTACTTGACAAATATGTTTTGAACTAAGTATTTTACATCTTATTGTTCCTATTCCAATATCAGAGAAGTTTTCATTGCAAAAGGCTGCTCCATGAGGGTTGGACTGGGGAGATGACCCTAAGTGTCAACATCAGTTTACTTACAACTTTATATCGCAGTCATCTTCCATTAGTGAGGGTAACTGGAAATGAATGGTGGCCACTTCTTCTGTCTCAAGTAGAAGAGACAAAAAAAAAACGAGACAAGATATTTACTTAAGAGGGTTGAGGTGAGAATTTATTTATTTATTCATTCAACCTACATTTATTGAGCACCTGTTATGTACTAGACATTGTGCTGGGCAATTTGGATACAGGCATAAACAAATTGGATAGAATTTCATGCCCTCATTGAGTTTGTACTTAGTGAGGGAAGATACCCAATAATTAAACAAATAAATTGTCATATAAATAGTCTGTAAAAGATAACTGGAAATATGGAGAAAAATTAATTAATATAGGCATATAAGGAGTGTATGAGAGGGGAGAAGTGTGGTGGAAGAGAAGGCAGGATTTTAAACATTTCAAATAAGTTGGCCCTGTAAGGCCTCTCTGATGAGGTGATGTTTGAACACAGAAGATGAAGAAATTGAGAAGGTGGGCATCCAGGAGAAGATCATTTCTGGCCAAGCTAAATGCACCCACCTTTGATTGAGGAAGTCTCTTAGACTTCTGGGATTAGACAAAAAAATCAGCGTGGTTAGAATAGAATAAGAGCGGGCAGCATGTGGCCAATCAGGTGAGATCTTGCAAGCATTTATAAGGCCTTTAGCTTTTACTTTCAGTGAAAGAGGGAACCATTGGCCTGTTTTGAGCAGAGAAGCACCAAATTCTGACTTAAATTTTAAAATGACTACTCTACTGAGAATTGACTATAGAGGAGTAGGATCAGAAGCAGGGAGGCCAGTCAGGAGCTAATTAAAAAAGTAGGCTATTGGTCAGTGTCACTGGATTACAGAAAGAAAAGGATCAGAGGTGAGGCATAGCTCAGTAGAAGGCCAGAGCTCAGTGGGCTGAGCTATGGTTACCGAAATGTTGAGAAGAAGCAATAGTTCTTTGAGATAACAGGTCGCCTGCCTGCAGTAGAGCTTAGTAGAACTCAAGTGGATCTTGGCTTAATTAAAACTATAAGAACAAATGTTTGGATGTTTATTAATAGCCCACAAGAAACCACATTTTTTGTATGATCTTAAAACTACTTGACTTTGAGTTCCATGAGAGCAAAGGCCATGATCATCTCTCTTAGTACTTTTATCTTGCCCCTGCCTAGACAATGGGTGCCACATATGAAGTATTTAGCAAATGATTGTGGGATGAATATTTTCTGGAGGGATTCAGTACCCAGAGCTTCTAGCATTAAAGTGGCTAATACCTTCCAAGTTAGAGAAATATTATAGTAGTAAGCCTTTGAAGGTTCACTGGGTAATTTTAAGCAAGATTCCTTAACATGAGAAAAGAAATAATAAGTATTTAATATTACATTTATCAGAGTGGGCAAAGATTTCAGGGTTGGGTCACTGGCCAAGGCTTATATTTTTCCAGGATTGGGGACTTCCAGCATTTGTAGAGGTTTCAGTGTTAATCCATCGTGGCCATTACTTGGTTGTGTGTACATCAAAAGAGGTCCCAAGGTAGTGCAGTGTTACCTCTCCTGGAACTGGAAAGTCAGGAGAATGTAAGTCCAATATCATATATCTACTTCAAGATTTGGATTTTGAGAGATTATGCTATGGCCACAGTTTTAGCCTCCATAAAGCATTTAATATTGGACCTGATTCCTTTGTATTTCTCTTCTTTCTCTTACGCTGTCTACCACCAACACATATATACTTCAACTTCACTTGGTTTCTTTAAAGTCAGTGAAGATTAAGGAACAGGATCATTAGAGTTTTTCTCAAATATTTTTATTGTTTAATGGTCTTGGACTTCTGGATGAATTTGGAAATAACATGATTTGTCTGATAATAAAATGCATCACCATTAGGCGCTTCACAAAATGTATGTATCTGATGGTGCAGTCTAATTCTCATTTTTTGAAGGAGAGAAATACAGAACAATATGTTCTCATCCTTTAGTGACAAAGAAGAATTGTGACAGAAGCCAGTTATGTTGAACATGGAATTATTTGAAAGCAGGTATATTATATGGCTAGTAACCAAGGGCAATATGATTGGGTCCAGGAATGTTTTAATCTACAAAACTAGGAGGTGCCACCCAATAGATTCTGCCGTGACAAACATATCCCATTTCTTTAATGCAGAGGTTTTCAAACTTTGGTGTGCGTTAAATCACATGGAGGGCTTGTTAAAGACAAATTACTGGACCCTGTCCCCAGAATTTCTGGTTCAGTAGGTCTGAGGTGGGCCTAAGAGTTTGCATTTTTAACATGTTCCCTGGTGATACTGAGCCTGCTGGTCCACTGCCCTAACGTATCATCAACGTACTTTCCAGCTGTCTAATTAGAGCCATAAGCAGTGTGCCGTTTGGAGGCACTTTCCATCTTAGTTAAGAAAGCATTAATGCTAAAAGATATATAGGTTTGAAGAAATGGAGATAGGGAGGCACCATCAGCATATTGTTGTAATTCTGATTCCAAATGTCTTTCTGGCTCCCTTGTGGCCTCACACACATGCTAAACAGGATGCTACTGACAAACTAGCGCTTCTCAGCTGTGTGTCCTTAGGGAAACCAGCCAATCACTCAGCACTATCCTCTAAGAAGATGAGGGGAAATCTGTTAATAATTCCCTCCAGTACTTTCTGCAAGCTTAAATAGGTGAGATTAAATTTCACAGGATAACAGAATCCCCCAAAATGCTGGTATTAAAAGCTGTTGACAGATCAGATAGAACTGCAAGAATGCTTCGGGGAATCCCTAAAAGGAGGCATGAAGGTCAGGACTCAACAGACCTGCTTGAGTTGATAAATTTAAAGGATAAGGCTGGGGAAGGACTTTGTAGTTCTTATTAATTATTATTGAGAAGAATATGGTTACAGAATTATTTTCAAGAACATAATCTCACACACGAATAATATTTTAAGAATCTATTGTTCACATATTCAATTTCCCAATAGCAGTAAAACACGATAGATCTTCCATTCTGATGTATTTTTATGGGGTCTCTACGCTGCTCCCTAGTGTCCTTTGGCTTCCTCCTATTTGTTTGTCAAGATGGTAACTGATTTAACTTTGATATTCCTGTTTCCACATATTTTAGCTCTTCAGAGAGTCAACTATTTTGATAATTAATGCTACTTTATTATTTTAACAAGAAAAATAACAATAGCATATTGCCTGGTCTGTTAGTCAAATTTTTCTACATCTGTTACTGTAATGTGACATAATATATCTTTATGGGAAAGAATGTGCCTTTTAACTGAATCTTTCTGGTATCACACAGTGTACCCTGATCATTCATGTGGCATGACCCATAGACCTCCTCGTAGACACTTTTACTCTCAAATGATCATGTTAAAGATGCATCTGTAGACAGTTTTATCATCTATATGTTGCAGCTAAGAATTCATTTTTCTACAAGTAACTGATACTTTCTAGTTTTTATATAATTACAAGAAATATGAACTTGGGGTTATTTTTTACAAAATAACCTCTATAAACTGACAAACTAAATTTTACTTAGTAAGGGTGATGCTTAGAGCAGCTCCTTGGCACCGGCACATAATTTGAGTTGATGTTCTTCATGGAGAGTATTCGGAGACATGTCAGCATGATCTGAAGAAACTGAAAACAAAAAAATAAGTAAACCCACACATTT